TTATAGAACCGCAGGCGAAAATTTTAGAATTTTAGAAGGCCGCCCCCCTAGTCATAACAACATTCTTGCCTTTTACGGGCCTGATACCCATTGAAGGTGCTGCTCTCTCTCATTTTTAATCTAGTTTAAAGGCTATCTAGTTTCAAGACTATACAATTCATTTTTAAATAATTTTTAGTAAATTTGGTTAGCTTGCCTAAGTCCTTTGAATTCTTAATTTCAATAATTTTACGCAAATTCTCCAACTGGCCTGCAAAAGTTTTAGGACTTTCAGCTTCTTCATTAATTTTACCCTTCCCTTTTCCTTGATCATTTTGTTTTTGATTATTAATATCTGACAAAATTTCTTTGAACAGTTCCTGCTCATCTTCGTTAATTTCTATTGTTTCCGTCAAAGGCATACCAAGATATTCATCTAAATTTATAATTCCAGATGGTTCAGGAATAATTTCCAACTTTTCTTTATCCGTTTTAATATCGTCATGTTTTTCATTAATCTTTGGAGTATTATATTCCATTTCCTCGTCCGATTCTATTATAATGGGTTCTTTACCCTTCCCCTTGCTTTGATCAGCTTGATTTTGATGACCTGACGGTAAATTTTCTTTTTGCGGACCAAGTTCATTTTCGCTAACTTTTAATGGAGTGATAACTACATCTTTGCCTTTTCCTTCTTCTTTAACTATATTTATGAAGAAGTAGTAAAAAATATTCTTGGATATTACTGGCATTTATTGCCAGACGCTTTAGTTCACCAGTGTAAGTGCTTTGAAGACACCCCGCCGAAGCTTATTCATATTACTTTTTTCGATGTATCTTAAACCGCTGCTAGCCTAGTGCTTCTATTCATTTTTAAGGACACAAAATATGTAGAAACGTGATTATATTCCATTTCCTCGTCTCATTCTATCATAATGAGTTCTTTACCCTTCCCCTTGCTTTGATCATCCTGATTTTGATTAATTTTCTGTGAGTTCACAAGTGAACTTAAAGAAAATTTTAATTAGAACCCGATCATCTAGGTTTTAAATTTGCTACGGAACCAGTATCAACTCTCCCACCCTCCTAACAAATATTAATCGAAAATAAAATTCTTTATTACCATCAAATGTCTTTGCTTCACCAATATATTCCTTAAGCTTTTCTTCGGCAATTTTTTCATTTTCGCTTAAAAGATTAATGAAATCCCCCTTTGATTTATTTATCATTACAAATTTACTTTTATCTAACAAGCACTCTGTTTTAGTTATTTTTGTTTTACGTTTTCCTTTTTTATCTTTATTCAGTACATTAAACTCGTATATATTTAAATTATTATTTTCGTTTATAGCCTGTTGACACTCTAATGTGAATTCTCTATGTTTGTACTGCTAAAGTTTCAAATTTAAATTTATTTTTATTATAGTATTCAATTAGGTTCATTGGATGGGATAAGCGAATGAATATAAGATAAGGCTATTTAACAGTTAGAATAACAGTTATACAAAGTAGAAAGTGGCAATGTAGGTGAGGGAGGATTGGTTGGAATAAATCAAAGGAGATCAGGGACAAGTCAGGGTGGAATGATCCAACTAGACAAACTCAGGCACTTGCTTTTAAACAATCATAAACTGACAGCAATTGTAATCAGTACTTCGAGGCTCATACAAAATTCCTACTCGTCCCCTGTAAAAATAGTGCTGGACTAGTTACGAGTACAAGATAAAAGTAGGGATGATACGAAGTACGAGTACTAGCATATCAGAATTTCCGAGCACTGATTATAAATTTTACTTTAGCTTTTGGCGCGACATTCTTTTTAATTGTAAAGTCGTATTTATCATCTGGGCACACTCTTGCTTTAACTATTTGTGAATGATGCGCAGCAACTTTATTATTTTTTTCCCTTTCAGGAATGTTAATTTCAACAATTTTATCATTATTGTCCTCATTTTTACATTTTATAGTTACAACTCCTTCTATACAAGCTTTAGTTTTAAAAATAAATTGGAGAAAACGAACAGGGCGTTTAATTAAATTAATTATGGTATCAAAGTATTCTTCATCTTTTTTTAATATTTTTGTAAAGCTTGTTTTGTTTTTGCCTTCATATTTAATGTAAATTAATGAATTGTCCTCAACATTATCAATAGAAACAATTTCTGTGATTAACTAAAAGATAGCAAGTTATTTATTGAAAATTTAGAAGATCCTGAGGATCATAGATATCAGTAGGGGAGCATGAAAAGAAGCAATAACTGAGAGCTTGAATCTTAGAATAAGAAACATAAAAAGTTCTGAGAGTCTATCTACACCTCTAAGGGTCTGTCTATCTACATCGACTTTATTACATTCCGTCTTAATTTCCTTCCTCTTACGATCCGTAGGGTACCTCTAAGGATCGTAGGGTACCTCTATAGATACCTGTTACGATTCGTAATTAATTGTCTTCAACATTATCAATATATATGTATATACCCCTCCTTATACCCGCCCCCTACTCACTTATCAAATTCTTTTCCTTTTATGTCAAATTTGTTGTCTTTGGAAAGAGTTTCTAGCTATGGATAAATAGCAGGTATTAAAAATACTAAATAGATAATCCTCCAATTTAGATAATGTACCTCTAAGGATATACTATTAAAGTAAAATTATTCTAGAATTTAGTTGGAAATTTTAGTTGAATTTACTACATATAAAACTAATAATAAATTTACTAACATCTTCATTTAAAACTTTATACACTTTCAAGCTGTATTTTTCCAAATTTTCAGTATTATTTTCTTCACCCTCTTCAAAGTGAAAATTGTCATATTTATCTGTTTCTCCTTCCGTGGGCAGATCCCATTTATCACTAGTCAATTCAACATTGAATCGGTGGGTGTTTTTCGAGGCCAAAATTTTTTTGTCTTCAATTTGATTTCCTCGCCATGAAATCTTCACAAAAATTGACAACGTTGTTACATTGTAAAATATGTTTAAGAATATAAATATTGAACATATAAACATTCTAAAATAAATTCTATGATTATATAAGTGTAAATTGCTTCTTCTTTAAAGCAAATTTTACTAAATCTCAGCTTTTCATAGAATCTAGGTCTCAGTCCTTCCAATAAAGATTTTAATTCGATAGAGAGACACACGAAATCCAGGACCCCATAAACATTCTGAGGTAAGAGAATCAACGATAATTTTAATTCGATAGAGACAAACACAAGATCAAAGACCCTTTAAACACTCGGAAGCAAGAGATTGAAACAGAATCGGCACATTAATTATATGAGGAGCCATTAAAATAGAGGCAGCATTCTATTTTTCAATACCCCTAAGGGGGGGGGGGAATAGAATGGAGGGGCCATTCAATTGGAGGGGCCATCTATTTGGAGAGGTCATTCTATCAGAATTCTACTATCAGAATATTTAATTAAATATTAAAAATCCTAAAATTTTAATTAATGCTTGTTTATAAATTAATAAAATAAAAATTAATAAGAGCGATGAATAGCTAAAGACTTTAAAATGTTAGACGAATTAAGAAATCATTAAATGAATTCCCTCGTCTAGTCAATCAATCTTGTTTATTTGTCCTTAAAGTGCAGATTTCTTAACTTTGTCGGGAGTCTAAATAAATATTTTTTTTAATTTTTTAAAGTGGCGATTGAAAGGAAAAGCGAGAGAAAAATAGTAAACAACAAGGGCATGTTGAGGGCAAAAAATTTTGAAAGAGTATAAATTTCAAAATCGAATATAGACGTTGATTGTCAAGACATTTTGTAGCTCTGGTTCCAAACCTTTTCAAATCGTTCAGGCTCTACCTCCTAGCATTGTTCAGAATCGAGCAAGAGTGAAAATTAATAGGATTGTAAAATATTGTGCGTTTTTTCGAGGCCAAATTCTTCCGTAGGCATGCAACGGAAGATCCTTAATGCAGACTTAGTTCATTAAACGTCTTACTTAATTTAAAATACTTAAAGGATATGAAGAAAGTTTTACATTTTATAATTAACTTTTCTCATTTAACTATTTTATCAATGTCTAATTTAATGAAAATTTAAAAATGGAATTGTCGGACCTCACACATATGTCACATTTCGGTCTGAAAATTTTTTTGTTATTGTAATAAATATATAATGTATAATTCTCACTTTGTGAGGTCCAACCATGTAATAATTTAAATAAATTTCATCAATATAATCGGGTTTTTCTAAATAATACTACTGAATTGTTTGAAGAGGAAACAATGTTTTCCAGGGTGAAATTTCATAAATATATGTGTTGAATGCTTATAAAAATAGCTCAAGTGCCGTCACCCACACATGTTTTTTAAATCTTTCGGTAAGAATTTAAAAGTCTAACTATCAGTTTTAATCTGGTCAAAGCACTTTCAACATTTCTGAAATAATCCGTTCCGTCCCGCATGCCGAGCCGATTGAACTATTGTATGCTTACATGTGTGGGAGGGAGCGAGGAGGGAGAACAGCAAGGGAAATTTAGAGAAAATCGGTTATAAAAGTTATACCAAATTGAAAATAAATTAAAAAATGCCCAATAAAAGCCCGATAAATAAAACCATCAAAAATTGTTCTGGGTGGCATACACTTCAGGTGTGTATTGCATCTTTCTACAAATTTAGCATCTATCTTCGTCGTCTGTATCCATTTCTATATCTATAAAATTTTACTCAATGAGATCCAAATAAAAGCCCTCTTTCAAGATATTTAAGGTAATTTTTAATATTTATATAAAAATCATCTTAATAATCAGGTTGAAGAAGTTCGAAAGATATAACTATTTTTCTAATATACCTCCTGTGTGTCCACCACTTCCAGGATGTGGATTTACAGAATGAGGATCATTTCCAGGATGTTGTTGATAATTTGGAGTTGGTTGATGGTATTGGTGATGATTCAAAAAAGGGAGTACTGCATCTCCTGTTTATTATTTAATAGTTATTAATTAATTTAAACTATCTTTCGTTTATATACTATTTTGTTAATTTATTATTAATTTACAATAAATTTCTAAAGCTTACCTAAATATTCGTTTGAAGCTTTTTTAGGCAAAAAAATGTTTTGATATTTTTCCCAATCATAATTATCAGTTTGAAGACGTTCATTTTCCTCCTTAGTGCTATCATATTCCATTTCATAACCCGATTGATATAGTTTACCCTTCCCCTTGTTATGGGCATCTTGATATTTATCGTCGTCCGATTCGATCAGTTTACCCTTCCCTTTGCCTTGAACATCTTGACTTTGATGAATATGCCCTGACGGTATTTGACGTTGACCCTGCCCAATTTTTATTCCACCATAATTCGTAGAATGATGTTCCATGACGAATTTATCTTAGTCAAATTTTGGAAATTATTTTCCGAATATTTTTAAATTTAGAATTAAACCTTAATTTCTTCTAATTATCCCAAAATCCTAATAACCGTGTTGTTGTTGTTTTGGACGTGGCCGTAGTTTCCAAATACCTATGTATAATTCCCCTATATCGTGAGAGACCGTTCCGAACATTGCCTAAGTTGTGTTCTGGCAACATGACATGGTCAAGTTGCCTAAACATGACCCTTGTCCCCCCTCTCTAATAATTACCCATAAGGTTTTAATTACCCATAAGGTTTTTAAATCTTTGTTCAGCATGTTGTTCATTTTCATCTAATTTATTGATATAGTTAGGCGGATTTCTCACACGTTTATTCTCAGCTAATACACAAGTGAGTTTTTTATCAACTGACAACCGAATCTCATATTGGTTTAAATAGTTATAATCAAAAATAGCCTTTTCACATTCCGTTGCGTAATTCTAAATTTTTGAAATTAAAACTGTAATACTATCGGAACGTAGTTTACAATTACTTATCAGTTACATTTAGAAAACAACCCAAGGACCTAACACACATTACCTTAGAAACCAGACTTGTAAAGTGTCTTAACTTGATATGAAGCTATTAATAGAGATGGATCTTTATTAAACAATGTTTTATTAGAACCTAATAATTTTATAGAAACCTAATAATTTAAACCTAAAAATATTACATTTACTCCACGATATTCAATGCTAACAACGTATTTATCATCTGGACATATTTTTGTTTTAACAATGGGTGATTTATATTTAAATCTTGTACGCTTTTTCTCTTGATCAGGCATAACATGGATTTCCACAATATTATCGTCATCGTTGTCTTCTTCATTGCATTTTATAGTTAACTTCTTGTTTTTCAAAGCCCTTGTAACAAATTTAAATTGTAGTAAACGAACAGGGCGTTTAATTAAACTAATCATAGTATCGAAGTACTCTTCATCCTTTTTTAATATTTTTGTGTAGCTTATTTCGTTGTTGATTGCGAATTTGATATGAATTATAGAATTGTCTTCAACTTCATCAACAGTAGCTATTTCATTCTGGAACATAAATAATGAAATTTTTAAATGGTAAGATAAATGAATATCCAGCAGAGCACATAGAAATTTACTGATCTCGCCCTTATCGAAGCAGATCTCCGACAAAACATCTACATGTTTTATAGATATTGCATCATTGCACTTATCACAAGGTGCAATCATTTGCATTTATCACAAAGCAAGTCTCTAAACCCTTTATTGATAAAGGGGATGCTTTGATCGGAGATCTCGATGAGTTTATTATTTTATACCATTTTCGCTAAATATGCCCATTTTTGTTAAGCCTTTTTTATTATTTGGAAAGGTCCCCTTCAAAACGAACTTTTTCATTAAAAATTTTCAGGGTGTATTTTTGCAATTCTTCAGAATTATTTCCTTCAACATCCTTAAAATGAAAAGTGCCGTATTTATCTGTGATTCCTTCTTTGGATTGTTCCAATTTTTTGTTGGTCAATACTAAGAAAAATCGGGGAGTGTCATTCTGGTCCAAATTTTGTAACCCATAATGACCATTTTCTTCCCATGAAATTTTCACAAGGATTGACAACGTTGTTACGTTGTAAATTATGTTTAAGAATATAAATATTGAAAATAAATACATTCTAAAATAATGATAAAATAAGGTAATTTTTAAATACTTTAACGGTGGAAAGTATTGAGCTTAGTTAGTAAGGATAGCGGTTCCTGGAAAATCTCCGGATATCCGTAACCGATATCCGAACCGAAAATTTCGGATATCCGGAATCTTATGAAGATTATTATTAATTATCTTCCCCTTTACCGCTTCAGTCCATATATTATATTTATTACGCAAAAGTTTTTAGATAGAATTCCGTAAATCTTTGCGGGACATTATCGCAGAATTATATTCTTTAAATTTTAATTATGTGTTCCTAGCACATATTTCTAGCCCATTCATTCAATGCCTTCATTTATTCCTAGCTCATTCCAATTCAGGTAAATAAAATAAAAAAATTTTAAGAGTGAAATAGCAAATATTATTAGAATGTGGATTAAGAAGAGAGTAGATAAGATCTGGCTTAGCTATTTTGCCAAAATTGAGCCAAGAAAAATTTCATAGATTGCCGAGTGTAAATGGATTGCATATAATTAAATTTAAATAGTATAAAAACACAACACAACATAAAAACACAACACTACATTTCTTCTAAACATATAGCTCGTGTAATTTAACAGACTCGACCAGTTCACGTCAAATTTTACTGAAAACTAAATCATTTAATTTATATAAACAACTGTACATTACTATTAGTAAACTTTTTACCAAATATCAACTATTTAATAAACTTTCTATCAACTTTTTAGTAAACTTTTTATCAACTAACACCTTTTTAGTAACTTTCTACAACTATCATCTGTTTAGTAAACTTTTATTAACTATCAACTTTTTAGCTTTTTAGTAAATCAACTATAAAGCTGATAAAAATTTCTATCAATAATTTTTATCAAGTTCAAGTTGATGAAAGTTTTTTTATCAACTTATAACTATTTTTATCACCAATCAAGTTGAAAAAATCTCTGTCAACTATCAATTTGATAAAAATTTCTATAAGTTATCAACAATTTTAATCAACTATCATGTTGATAAAAGTTTTTTATCAACTATTAAATATTTTTATCAGTATTATGTTACCACTGCAAGGATTTGTATATTTTTACCAACTATCAACTATTTAGTAAACTTTTACCAACTATCTGTTATGTTCGACTTCTATTTCTACGTATTAACAAGAATAACATGATAAGACAGTAATTGCCAACTTTGCTTTATATACAAGAATACCGTAAATCTTCTAATAGAAGCACAGTGCTTCTATTTTTCGATCCTCTTGTAGGGTGTGCTTATATTGGAGACTGTGCTTCAATTGGAGACTGTGCTTGTATTTTTCGATCTATTTTTAAATTTTTTGAAGAAAATTTTTACCCAAAATAAAAAACAAAAATTAAATTTCAATTGAATTTATAAAGTTCCATTTAATTTTTCAACCAACCAGCTTTATAAATTTTTTTCCTTCAAAAATTTTCACCTTCCGAGCTGAAAAAACAAGCACTGATCTCATGGAGCCAGAACCTTTAATCCACTAAAATCTTCTTATATCCTATGATACTTCTCTAAATCCAACCAACTATATCCCTCTTGATGTCCCTCAACAACCCTTGTTGTAGGTCTAGAGTGAATTTTTTTCTCAAGTTTCCGAAATTTTGAGGTATAGGGCAGGGAATGGTCGCAGACCCAGTGGGCGTAGGTCGCAGACCCAGTGGGCAGACCCAGTGGGCGGATATGGATCTAAAAAATCCGGATTTTCCGGATTTTAATACGGGAAATCCGAACAGGACTAAGAAATTTTGAAGCATTTTTCAAATGTCAAACCCTAATATAAAGCAAAAATGATACCTATGTGCTTTTTCAGCGGTATAATAGGGATGTGCTTATATTAGAGGGTGTGCTTCAATTAGAGGCTGTGCTTCTATTTTTCGATTCTCTCATAGAGTGTGCTTATATTAGAGGTGTGCTTCAAATAGAGGTGTGTTTCTATTAGAAGATTTACGGTATATACGATAAGTTGACACTGACTATAATACTTAAATTCAGGGGCCTTTTCCACAAAGCGACATTGACATCAAATGACGTGACATTTGGCAATCGCAGGTGTGCTTGTTCACGACTATGAATTTATATTTTACTTTAAATACTTCTCCATAATAAAATTAACGTACTCGTTTACATATTTTATCACAATGATGTCTAGCTAACATAGTTAAAAATTCTAGAAAATATGCGGACCTCACCCGTTTGTAACTTTTGAACAAAAATATAATTTTATGCGAGTGTGCACAGGTTATTTTTTTATTTGTGTGAGGTCCGAATATAGTGATTTTGAAATTCCGTGATCCTATAAAACCAATGTTTTAAAGATAATACTACTGCCATATGGCCAGCAAATTTTTTAATTATTAAATAATCTTCCGGTCAAAGTCATAAAATCTTTGTTCTGGAAAACAAAATCCGACTATCAAAATGCATAAGGCAATTAAAATATAAAATCACAAAGGAGCTGAGTGGGGGAAGGGGGAAGATGGGAGCGAAAAGGAGAAAAGTAAAAGTTCAGAAAAATTCGGCTATCAAAAATAAAATTAAAAATAAATTTTAAAAATGCCCAATAAAAGCCCAATACATAATGTCTGTTCAAAGCAACAACTTCAGAATAAGTATATCTAGAAATTGTTCAGGGGTGGATACTCTTCAGTGATGGATAATTTTCTTGGAATCTATCATCAATCTCCATAATCTGTTTCATTTAGTTATCTATAAATTATTTTTAAATTATTTATTGTTAATATCCTAATAGAGCCCAACACTTATAGAGAGCTTCAATGAGACAATTTGAAAAGCGACAGGACTTTATAGAGATATTATGGTTATTTTACTCTATTTAGAACAAAACACCTTAATCGTTTTCATCATTTACAGAATTTGCATCATGTTGATATTGTTGAGTATTATATGGATCTGGTTGCTTATGTTGAAGACTACGTTGTTGATATTGAGGAAGAAACGGGACTAATGCTTCATCTGTGTTTTAGTTAATAATATTATTATTTTATTCATAAACATTAGATTGTAATCCTGTCAATTAGTTCTAATCGTTTGTTTCTTTCTGTATGATAGATCTTAAAACCCGACTAGTAACTGTTTCTTAAACTAGCTTAATTTACCAGACATTGTCATGGATACGGATATGGATACAGATAATACCAAAATGCCTGCGGATATCCGCCTGTATCCGCCGTAAATATCCGGATACGGATACCAAAATCCGTATCCGTGTCCTAGTCTGTAATTTACAAATAATTTTTTGTGTATTTTATATAATTTTTTATAAATTTCTATATCTTACGTAACTCTCCGGTCGACTGCTGATACTGACGATCAGATTGCTGATATTGATAATATTGTGGATTAGGTTGCGGATATTGATAATGATCTTGATGATGTTGAGGATTTAGAAACGGGCCTAATGCATCATCTGTGTTTAGTTATTAATTTAGAGTATAATCAATCTGTTTCATCTAATTACTTATAAGTTTTGTATATGGCTTGGAAAAATTAAGTGGATGCAGCTGGAATAGTACAATTATAGTATAACCGATTGTGTACTATCAACTCATGTGATTAATTATTTTTATTAATTTATTCCAAATAACTTAGTTACGAATCGAAATTTGCTTATTAAATACCCGAGATACATACCTATATAGAGATTGGTAAATTTTAATAGGTAATTTTTTATTTATATCCAATTTTTATTAAATTCTATGCTTACGTAAATCTCCGATTGACTGATGATACTGAGTTTCAGGTTGCTGAAATTGTAGAGTATGTTGCTGGTATTGAGTATCAGTTTGCTGATATTGATGATAATGAGGATTAGGCTGATGATGTTGAGGATTTAGAAATTGGCCTAATGCATCATCTGTGTTTTAATAATTAATTTATATATTTTTTCAATAATATTAGATTATAATCAAGCTAAGTCTAATCTTATCTACCAATATGCTATGTTTATTAAAGTTATTATATGTGAGATTGAATAGAAAAATTATGGCACAGCTAATTGTGCGCTATCAACCCTTGTGATTGATAAATTTCTTTACTTACGTAAATCTCCGATTGACTGATGATGCTGAAGATTAGGTTGCTGATATTGCTGATACTGGAAAGTAGGTTGATGGTACTGTGCATCAGGTTGCTGATATTTGGGATGATGTAGATCAGTTTGATAATGTTGAGGAGGTAGTAATGGGCCTAATGCATCACCTGTTTTAATTATTAATTTCTGTGTTTGTTCAACAGCAAAATATCTGGGCAACAAAATAAGGTTTGGGTTCGGATCAAGGAAAGGAAAAATTTTTTAAAAATAAAGTTTGAAGAATATAAACTTTTGGTCCAGGGATATAAGCGGATTTGAAGGATTACGGGTATTTTCAAGAAAAATTAATGATTTATAGTGATATTGATGGATTGGGGAATTAAAATAGCAAGGAGATATGTTCATTATACATTTATGGTCAGTATATCACTTTTTTCAGGGTGGGGATAAATTTTAAAAAATAGCTGGGAAATGGGGTCAGGGTGCTGGGGTGTCGAGTATATAGTATCGAAAAATCTAGCTGGATCTCTATTTTTTACACAGTTTTTTTATTTTTGATTATTTTGTTAATTAATATTAATTTTCAATCAAGTTTTAATGCTCACCTAAATATTCATTTGAAGTACGATTCATAAAAGTGTTCCAAAAATCTTCCGTATAAGCTGCAAGGCTTTCATTTTTCTCATTATTATTTTGAATATTATATTCCGTTTCATTTTGAAATTCTATCATTTTACCCTTCCCTTTGCTTCGATCATCTTGAATTTGATTAAAATGCACTGACGGGTTTTTTCCTTTATGCTGATCATCTTTATTTTCACCAATTTTTATTCCACCATAATTTGTAGAACCAGCTGCCATAGCTACATTTTTGCCTTTTTTCATAGCTAAATTAATTCTTTCTTCAGCATTCATTTCAATTTCGCTTAATTTATTGATATAATTATATGGGTTGTTGATCTTTACAGATACACCTTTATTTAATTTACAATTTACTCTTTTATCATCATTGGCTATATTTTTAGAAAGCAAATATTTGTTTAAATAATCATTTTCAAAAATGGCCGGATCACATTCCATCTTGAGATAATCATTAACTGGGCGCTAAATTGTTTAATTTTAAATACTTATCTATACAGCTACAAAGTCAGATCTAAATTAAAGTTACCCTATATTGAATACTTAAGTAGGGGTATCTATTATACATACAGTAAACTCAAAATTTGTTCGAATGAAACGAAACAAAAACAAGTTTCTTATACAAAACAAAACGAGTGTACGAGTAGGTATACTGAATATTTGATGTTTAGGAGAGATTACTAATTAAGTAATCTCCGTTAACTAAGTAATCAGTACGACATTAGGGACCGGGTTCCTATAGCCGGGTTCCTATATTTTTTTACATAATACAAAATTTTTTCAAAATTTTTTTGGTGAATATATATGCGCATATTTTGAGATTTTCCGTGCATATTTTGACAAGCCCTAGTAATAAGCATGGCCCATATCTTTGACCATATTAACCTAGTAAACAATTATTGGACCCTTATAAAGCTTGGACGTTACATTTATTGTGTAGTATTTTTGTTCAATTTTAACTTCGTATTTATCATCCGGACATATTTTTGTTTTAACAATGTGCGATTCATAATAGATTGGTACATTACTAGTTTTCTTATTTTTAGGTTCAACATTAATCTCAATAATGTTATTATCATTATTTCTCTCGTCCTTGCATTTTATCGTTAATATCTTGTTTTTAAAACCTCTAGTTCCAAATACAAACTTTAGAAAACGAACAGGACGTTTAATTAAATTAATCATTGTTTGAAAGTATTCTTCATCTTTCTGTAGTATTTTAGCGAATGTTGTTTTATTATTTTGGAAGTTAATGTAGATAATCGAATTGTTTTCAAGATTATCAACATAAGCTAATTCAATCTTAAATATAAACTATTTTTATCAAATACATAGATAGGTATATACAACTATCATAACAACTATAAACCGTTTTTATCAACTATCAAGTTGATAAAAATTCCTATCAACAATTTTTATTAACTATTTTTATCAACTATCATAACTCTGAGCTTAAACAATTAACTATTTAGCATACTTTTTATAAACATCAACTATTTCGTATACTTTTTACCAACTATAAACTATTTTTATCACTATCAATTTGATAAAAATTTCTAGCAATTATCAGCTATTTTAATCAACTGTTTAGTTACCACTGTCAAGTCTTTAGATTTTATCAACTATTTTTATCAACAATTTTATCAACTATTTTTATCAACTATCATAACTCTGAGCTTAAACAATTAACTATTTAGCATACTTTATATAAACTCTCTAAATCGCTCATATCTCCAAATATCCCTCAATCGTTCTTTATCCCCCCTCCCATCCCTTTTCACTGACATAACTTAAATCTTCCTAAATCAATTCAGAACTCCTTTTATAGGAGTTCTGTTATAGGAGTTCCCTTATATCCAACAAATCTAATTATACTGTCAAACAAACATTTTGATTAAAAACTTTCAAGTTGTATTTTTTCAATTCTTCAGAATTATTTCTTTCAAACTCTTCAAAATGAAAAGTATCATATCTATCTGTTAATCCTTCTTTGGGGTGTCCCCATTTATTGCAGAACAAAACCAAGTTGAATCGGTGAGTGTCTTTCTGAACCAAATTTTGTAACCCATAATGTCCATTTTCTCGCCATAAAATTTTCACAAGAATTGACAACGATGTTACGTTGTAAATTAAGTTTAAGAATATAAATATTGGAAATAATAACATATTCTAAAAATAATTAGGTAAATTCAATTTAAAAGATTTTTAAAATATGAATTAATTTATATTAAGTAGCTTGTTGTAGTGGATAACACAACATTTCAAGGCGTATTCGCTCCCATACGCCGAATTACTTTTGCATTATTTGAAGGAGAAGAAGATAGCCCAGTCCGTCAATATGTACATAAATAACAAAATTTAAATATAAATTATTAAAAAGCATTAAATTAAATAAAAATTTTAAAAGATGAAAGGCATATATAATAATGTATAATGCCTATTTTAAGAAAATTGACGCTTTGACTTAGCTATTCAGCCAATAGGTGTGTGACTCGTCTATATAGCTAAGTCACTATAATGAGGAGGGGTAGCAAGTGAGAATGAGGGGAATAAATAAAAAATCAAATCTCTATACATTAAAGCAGGGTTAAAAAGAAAAACTAACGCCATTTTCGATTCACGTGGAATGGAACTCAACATTTCTTCTGAACATAGCTCTTGTAATTTAACAGACTCGACCAGTTCACGTCAAATTTTACTGAAAAACTAAATCATTTAATTAATATTGTACATTACTATTAGTAAACTTTTTACCAAGTATCAACTATTTAATAAACTTTCTATCATCTGTTTAGTAAACTTAACAACTAGCAAGTTGATAAAAATTTATATCAACAATTTTTGTCAACTTCAAGTTGATGAAAGTTTTTTTATATACTTTCAACTATTTTTATCAACTATCTTAACTTTGAGTGTAAACTATCAACTATTTAGTATGCTTTTTACTAACTATCAACTATTTTTATTAACAATCAAATTTATTTATTAACAATCAAGTTAACAATCAAGTTAACTGGCTTATGTTAAGATGGATAATTAAATAATAAGAATAAGGGTACTCTTGTGTTATCTCCCCCAATTTTGTTTTTCTTCACCTTTCTTTTGCTAAAAAGCATGCATGAATCTGATTAACATACTGTTAAAGAATTATGGCGATAGGCGAAAATTTTTAGAATTCTGGAAATAAACAACCAAATTTCGTCCATTTTCAGCGGCGATGGCGAAAATTTTTGGAATTTTGGAAGGGCAAAAGGCCATATTTCTTCCATTTCTTTCAAAAAGCAAAAAAGCTAGTTCTTAAAGGTATATATTTAGCCATGTTCCTCGGCGAGGTCAATCCGAGACCGTGATTGCAAAATGGGCGAGGACTTCGGCCTCGGCGAGGCCTCGACCTCGTGCAACCCTATGTTAAATACTCCAAAATATGTTTAAATAAGTGAAAAAGCTTACGTTAACACACCGGAACTTATTCATTAAAAATAGATTACAACCAAAAAATTCGATCCCTAGTTATAACGTTAACAACGATTTCAAAAAACGTTAAACAATGCCAAAGATCAAGCAAAAAACATTTTCTTTCAAAATATTTATTCCAAACATTATGCACAAATTTCTATAAACTAAAAGACATTAATAATAAAAACATGGTGAGGTTGGTTATGAGGTGTAAAATATACATAAAAATTAATTAAAATAATTTCTTTTTACTAATCAACTTTTTAAAACTTTTAAAAACGCCAAATTTGCCTCCTTTTTTCTTAGCAGTTTTTGTCAGATCGCCTTTATCCTCCTCGGATTTTTGCTGCAGAAGCTCTTGAAGGGTAACTCGTCGTTTCTATAAAAATTGAGAGATTATTCAATATATTAGCTAAATAGCAATAAAGGTTATAGTGATAATAACATTTTCTTTATGTTAACAAAAACGTAAGGGCTAGAATAGAAATTCTAGAAAATGAACAATGTTTACAAAGGCTCAAAGACAATGCGTCAGAAGACAATGCGTCAGTGGAAAATGCGTCAGTAGACAATCGGTCAGTATTGATATAAAGTGATTAAAAGTAATGATATAAAGAGATAAATTCACTGATAAGTAGTATATACTCCAGTTTTATAACACTTTTTGGAAAAAAGTGTTATAAAACCAGAGTATATTTCCGAAAATTTATTTTTTTAAATATAATTAGAAATATGAAAAATATTTGAAACCTAAGCCTATACGAACATTCTAAAATAAAAGTAAAAAATAAGTAATTTAAAGCTTTTATTTGCAACAATTTCTTTTCATATTGCAGCGAATTTTATTTAGTGAATGACAATCACTTAAAAATTTTCATTTTAAGGCCCAATAATTATCTTCGCAAAAATTTTTGACATGACATGGAATAGTGTAAAACATTTTTTTTTGAAAAAAACCTATGTCTTTTTAGAGCGCAAAAAGCAATTAGAGGAATAAATTTGACATTTTACGAACAAAAGTTTTACAAAATAATTTGTGTTGATAAAACATTTTTGACAAAGCATGTAGTTATTTTTTATAAAATTTTGAAGTGGTTAACTTCTAAACGTCGAAAAAATAAAGTTTCTGAGAATATTTGGAAGGCTATAGGTGAAAAATTCAAACGTTTTTAGGAAAAGCATTTAGAAATGTTAAATGTAACATTCCTCCACAGGGATCCGAACCGGGTAGTAATTATAACATAAAGGTCGGCGCATAACAATTCAACCACTCAACCACCTAAACTAAGAATTTTAAGCGAATATTCATAGAAATGGTGAAAATTTGTGAGGAAATTCATGAGTAATGCAAAGTCATTAATTTAAAAAATTCTGTAAATTGGTAATTCGCCAATAGCATAAATTTCCGTGTTAAAATATTAATATAGTAGTCGAAAATAGTCTGAAATTGAAAAACGTATGGATGATCAGCATTGAGGATGGTCCATAACTAAAAATTTCTAAATCAAATAGAACAAAAATAATTAAAATTTATATATAATTGGCCCCCAAATATGTAGTCATACTTAAAAACGTCACACCAATTGATTTCGCAATAATTACAAAGAAAATAACCATTTAATTGCACAAAAAATATTTCGCAAAAAGGCTCACATAATTGCTTTAAAAAAATATTTCACAATGAGTGAACAAAAAATTGCCAACTTAATTGGGCCAAAAAACGCACAAAGTACATAATTTGGGCGAAAGTTTTGCAAAAGTTTGCCCATTTAATTGGCCAAAATTACATATAACAATGAAAATATTCAATACACAAAGGATCTACTTCAACATAATTGTGCAAGAAAACAGGTTTTTACAATAGTAATTATCTATTCTAGAATGTTCTAGAAGCATTTTTGGTGCATATAAAAGAAGCTCTTTTTCGCCTTGTATTTCATTCATACTACTTATCAACAATTTCCTATTGTAAAAGCCTATTCAAC